ATGTAAAGTATTGTGTAATACATACTGTGTAAAGTCAATGCCTTTACACACCAGACACCTAAAATCTGTGTAGGTTTTTCCTGCCTGTCCTCCCTTAGACATTGTCATACTGTACCACATATAATGTAAAATCTAAAATAACACAAATAGATAGGACTTAAAAATAATATTAAATATACGTTAAAAATATTTTTGAGAGTCCCCTCATTCTTACTGCCGCTGTTCACGCCGACCATGTAATCTCGCAGAATGTATTTGCACCACTGCATTTGGCACAAGCGGTCAGAGCTCAAAACTTGCAGGTAACACCGGTAAAATACTATTTTACCTCAGACACACAGCAAGATGCTGCTCCAGGTCAATCGGCTCTCTGGAATTATTTCTCCCTCCTCACATGTGTTCCCAACACTGCCAGCAAGACCTGGGTCAAACCATGAAATTCCCCCTCTCTCTTCTCATGAAAAATTGGATGGACCCAGATTCTCAGTTTCTTAATGTTCTTTCTTTGAAACATCAGGAGCAAAACCAACAACAACATCTGGAGCAGCTCATCATCGCTTGATGTCAACTTTGTTTTCACATCGTTTATTTTTAGGGCAGATTTTTTGTACGTGACACAACAAGTGATCTGAAAAATCAAGACTTTGTCATTTTTTGGCCTTACCAATAATAAGAATCAGTGCCATGAATGATGAGTGATTATAGTCCATGGTTAATTTTGATAAGCATCTCATAGTATAACAGTCATGTTGACCTGTTGATTGCAGTAGTGTGAGAGTTAACATTGTTGCCTCACAGGAGCAAACTGGGGTCTCTCTGCATAGAGCTTCCAGGTTCGTGTGCCTGTGCAGGTTTCCCACCCCACACCTCAAGTTAAATGAGGGATTATGAAAATGGGTGAATAATCTACATAAACTTCCTTATCACACAACTCATTAGCTGCACATGTGTTCATTATCTGTCTCCACGCAAGGATGCTTCAGTAGTGACTGAGTTATGTGGCAAACTTGTTTTATCTGTGAGAGTACGTGCTGAGGAGCACAAATGTAAAATTACTATTGAAGAGTCTGTCACACATTTTGTGGTTATTTAATGCTTTTTTTTTGTCTTTTGCTTTAAAAAAACACTTTCTGATCACATTTCCCTAACTACCTTTATTGATGTTCTTCTGGCAATCCTCCTCTACTGCTGAGCTCCACATCTAGGTTCAGATGTGCATTCTCTGCAGCATCCTTGATTTGTGGTCAGACTTTCGGGAAATTTTCTGCCTGCAAAAGGCCTGTGAAGAATCTAGCATAATTTCTCTGACCTTTTTGATTAAACTCAGATAAATGTGCACTTACTTTTGAATAAGATGACTATTCTAACACCTTATGCTTTCCGTTGCTGAGATTGAAATCCATCAAGTAAAGCTGCAAAGACGATAACAACAGAGCAGATTATGCAGATTGATTTTTGTTTTAAAAAGGGAGCTGGGGTTAAGCTAACTATTTAAAACTTGTTCCCTTAGCAATAGTCATATACTGTCGTAAAAAAAAAAAAGAAGAAGAAGAAGTAATGCAGAGGGCTCTTATTATTACTCATAAATTATGTTTGTCTCTGTGCCCAAAGTAATTTGACCCAAAGCAGAGCAGGAAGTGAGATCTGCTTTGCATTCTCATACCTTAGGCTTCCTCCCAATACACTTGCACAAATCCCTATCCTACTCAGCATACACACAAGTTTCCTTTGGTGTTTAAATATTAACACAAAGCTAAGAGCAAAGCGGAAAATCAGCCCAAAGATCACTTTATCGAAAAATGTGGCCACAGCAGTTCTTCTGTTGGCGTGAGTACAGGTACAAATGGAGGCTCCAGTGTTATAAGCATGACTACTCATCTCTGCTTTCATTACCTACTGGTAACAACTCTTTGATTGCTTGGGTTGACTTGGTTCAGGAGTGGCTATGGGGAAAAAAAAGATTGCTCATTTGGAGGTTTTGGCTCGTGTATCTCACATCCTCAGTGCAGAAGCAGTGATGTGAGTAAGGCTACGTCTGCACTGATAAATTTGAAAACAGCGTTTTTGTCTAAAAACGCTCTGCGTCCACACTATCGTTTTCAGTCGTTTCATCCACACTGAAAACGCTACGTCCCTGTACTGCGCATGCATAAAATGTAAGACCATTCAACCTGCATCATTTTCGTCTGCCATTTGTTGACTTTCCGGCTCTTTGAAATGTCACGGCAAAATGTCGAGGAAAAGTACCGAGTTTTATCTGGAGCTATCTGGAGCATGTCCAAACTGATATTGTTCTTTAATAGGGCTGACAAAATTGAGAGCAAACAAAACAACTGCTGTACAATGCCGTCCGCCGTCTTAGTTGAATTGGTCACATGACTGCATCATATGAATAAAATGTGTCACCGTTTTCAAAAAACCTCAGTTTTCGCAGTCCACACTGCGACGCGAGAGAAAAATATGCGTGCGGACATGGCTTGAGAGACACTGTAGCGTGAATAATCCCTGTTGGATGGTTGGAGAGGTTGGTCACACGTTGGAAGTTAATGCAAGATAATGCTGTTTATTTCCATAGTCCAAGTTACTTGACAATGTCTGTTGTACGCCTTTATTGGTGTTTACGATTGTGGCCATGGCAATCTTCTTTGGCTCTCGGAGGAGGCGGACGCACTTTTTCCCCTCTCCCTTATCTTCCCTGCTTATGTCCTTGTCTAGTCTCGTGTT